GAACTAGATAATTTTTTTTTCTTTGCTCCTCATGTTGATGTTTAAATCTACTAATCTATTGATAGTTTTAATAGTTACTTTTGACGTAAAAGTTTATGCTGGCTAACAGACAGTCATTCGCTGATTTGATTCTCAGCTCTATAACATGACACAAATGATGGTCTATCAAACTTGGTGTCATCAAACTGGAAAGACAGTTTTATACAAATCACTAATAAATTTAGAGGGGAAAAAAGCAATTAACATCTTATGAACTACACCCACTGAGATAAGCATTCCAATTAGAAATTTCATTATTTCCCCAGTCCGTTTTATGTTGAATACTGGGTTTTATTGCCAAATACCTCACAGCCAGATTGGAAACAAGCCACAACTGTCAAAATATAACAGCTCTGGCTATTTGAATCTGTTACATTGTGATGTTTCTCATGAAAATTTAACGAAGACAATGCATTCAAAGAGGTTCTGTGCATAAGGGGAATGGATGGAATTTAATTACCCTTATTAAAAATAAGAAAGGAAGGCTCTTTACATACTCCATCCTATTAGTATGCAAGATAGATTATCTTTGTTGTGCACTTGTGTATATGAAAAAGTGGCTCTGGAGTGTTCTTTATGAGCCAAGAAGGAACAGAAAGGTTATGAAAATGCATTAGAGAGCTTTCTGCATGGCACAAGTCAAATCTTGTCATTTACTCCCAAGGTAAAGGATTCGCATCTGAGAAATGATTATTAAGTTTAGATTTCTTTGATGGGAGCCTATAGCAAATGCTTGAGCACTGTAAGCATCTGACACTCGCTACTGATTGGTGGAGATATTGGCTCTGAAGAGAGATGGAAATTTGCAGAAGAATAGTGACTACTGTACCAGAGTAATATTTATATGTGCTTGTGTTTTCAGTGATTAAGTAGCCCTAGGGAGATAGCTGTCACTGGAGAATGTGAAAATTTGTCAGGTATTCAAGGAATAGCTAGAAGTGAGTTTTTCAGAAGGCTCTGAAAGCTTACTGAAACCGCTTAAAATGGCACCGTTTCTGTACAAAGAAAGTAATGTAGATGACATTGAACAATTCCTAATAAATTATTTTTGTCTTGTAAAAAACTGCATGTCAATAGCTGACAAGCAGGCATTTGATAATAAAGCATGTTCTATTTGGTGGTGATGGGGGACTTCAACTATCCAGATATATATTGGGAAAATAACACAGAGGGGCACAGACTATCCAGTAAGTTCTTGGACTACATTGGTGACACATTTTTATTTCAGAAGGTTGAAAAAGCTACCAGGGGGAGGGAAGCTGTTCTAGATTTGATTTTAACAAATAGGGAGGAACTGGTTGAGAATTTGAAAGTGGAAGGCAGCTTGGGTGAAAGTAATCATGAAATCATAGAGTTCGCAATTCTAAGCAAGGGTGGAAGGGAGAACAGCAAAATAGAGACATTGGATTTCAAGAAGGTGGATTTTAGTAAGCTCAGAGACCTGATAGGTAAGTTCCCATAGGAATCAAGACTGAGGGGAAAAACAACTGAGGAGAGTTGGCAGTTTTTCAAAGGGATATTGTTAATGGCCCAAAGGCAAGCTATTCCACTGCATAGGAAAGATGGAAAATATGGCAAAAGACCGCCTTGTGTTAACCACAAGATTTTGCATGATCTAAAAATAAAAAATGAGTCTCATAAAAAATGGAAATTAGGACAAATTACAAAGGATGAATATAGGCAAACAACACAGGAATACAAGGGCAAAATTAGAAAGGCAAAGACACAAAATGAGCTCAAACTAGCTACAGGAATAAAGGGAAACAAGACGACTTTTTATAAATACATTAGAAGCAAGAGGAAGACCAAGGACAGGGTAGGCCCATTGCTCAATGAGGAGGGAGAAACAGTAACAGAAAACTTGGAAATGGCAGAGATGCTTGCTGACTTCTTTGTTTCGGTCTTCACCGAGAAGTCTGATGAAGGAATGCCTAACATAGTGAATGCTAGTAGGAAGTGAGTAGGTTTAGAAGATAAAAAAAGAACAAGTTAAAAATCACTTAGAAAAGTTAGATGCCTGGAAGTCACCAGGGCCTGATGAAATGCATCCTAGAATACTCAAGGAGCTGATAGAGGAAGTATCTGAGCCTCTAGTTATCATATTTGGAAACTAATGGGAGACAGGAGAGATTCCAGAAGACTGGAAAAATGTAAAGAACAACAACCCAGGAAAATACAGACTAGTTAGTTTAACTTCTGTTCCAGGGAAGATAATGGAGTAAGTGATTAAAAATCATCTGCAAACACTTGGAAGGTGGTAAGGTGATAGGTAACAGCCAGCATGGATTTGTAAAGAACAAATCATGTCAAACCAATCTGATAGATTCCTTTGATAGGATAAGGAGTGCCAAAGTTGACTCAGGACTCACAATTTTTGTAGATCACTCTGTTCTATTAGCAAAGTGCTTCGCTAATACAACCAGAAAAAGTGAGACACCATCCCCAACCCAAGCCATCTTATTATCAGATAAAAGGATTGAACAGACAAAAGATTGAAAAAGGGCGCGAATTGACAAAGTTACCTGGGGTCAGTCAAGTATCTCATTTCCTTATCAGCTCTCACCAATCTCCTGTTAATGTCTCACTATCACCCATAAGTGGAAAATTTGTCCTCTTCCTTAACATCCTTCTTCCTGCTTACATACAAATTTACCTTAACATCTCTCTTACTGCTAGAGGAACACACAACATTTCTTTAATTCATTTTACTTTTACAATATATTTTAGTCTACTTTCACACGAGTCTTGTGGATAAGGGAAAAGCGGTGGATATGGTATACCTAGAATTTAGTAAGGCATTTGATACGGTCTCGCATGATATTCTTATCAATGAACTAGGCAAATACAACTTAGATGGGGCTACCATAAGGTGGGTGCTTAACTTGCTGGATAACCATACTCAGAGGGTAGTTATTAATGGTTCAGAATCCTGCTGGAAAGATATAACAAGTGGGGTTCCACAGGGGTCTGTTTTGGGATTGGCTCTGTTCAATATCTTCATCAATGATTTAGATATTGGCATTGAAAGTATGCTTATTAAATTTGCAGATGATACCAAACTGGGAGGGGTTGCAACCACTTTAGAGGACAGGGCCATAATTCAAAATGATATGGACAAATTGGAGAAATGGTCTGAGGTAAACAAGATGAAGTTTAAAGACAAATGCAAAGTGCTCCACTTAGGAAGGAACACTCAGTTTCACACATACAGAATGGCAAGCGACTGTCTAGGAAGGAGTCCGGCAGAAAGGGATCTAGGGGTTATAGTGGACCATAAGCTGAATATGAGTCAAAAGTGTGATGCTGTTGCAAAAAAAGCAAACGTGATTCTGGGATGCATTAACAGGTGTGTTGTGAGCAAGACACGAGAAATCATTCTTCCGCTCTACTCTGCGCTGGTCAGGCCTCAGTTGGAGTATTATGTCCAGTTCTGGGCACCGCATTTCAAGAAAGAAGCGGAGATATTGGAGAGGGTCCAGAGAAGAGCAACAAGAATGATTAAAGGTTTAGAGAACAAGACCTATAAAGGAAGGCTGAAAGAATTGGGCTTGTTTAGTTTGGAAAAGAGAAGATTGAGGGGGGACATGATAGCAGTTTTCGGGTATCTAAAAGGGTATCTTAGGGTATGTCTACACTACCCCGCTAGTTCGAACTAGCGGGGTAATGTAGGCATACCGCAATTGCAAATGAAGCCCGGGATTTGAATTTCCCGGAATTTCCCGGGCTTCATTTGCATAAGCCGGGCGCCGCCATTTTTAAATCCCGGCTGGTTCGAACCCCGTGCCGCGTGTAGCTTCCTAGTTCGAACTACTGTTACTCCTCATTCCATGTTCGAAGCCTAGTTCGAACTACCTAGTTCGTGCCGCGTGTAGCCGCGCGGCACAGGGTTCGAACCAGCCGGGATTTAAAAATGGCGGCGCCCGGCTTATGCAAATGAAGCCCGGGAAATTCAAATCCCGGGCTTCATTTGCAATTGCAGTATGCAATTTCGAAATAGGAGGGTAGATATACCCATAAGGAGGAGGGAGAAAAATTGTTCATCTTGGCCTCTGAGGATAGAGCAAGAATCAATGGGCTTAAACTGCAGCAAGGGAGGTTTAGGTTGGACTTTAGGAAAAAGTTCCTAACTGTCAGCGTAGTTAAACACTGGAATAAATTGCCTAGGGAGGTTGTGTAATCTCCATCTGTGGAGATACTTAAGAGTAGGTTAGATAAATGTCTATCAGGGATGGTCTAGACAGTACTTGGTCCTGCCATGAGGGCAGGGGACTGGACTCGATGATCTCTCGAGGTCCCTTCCAGTCCTAGTATTCTATGATTCTATATAACAAGACTACGTCTAGACTGGCATGATTTTCCGGAAATGTATTATAATTAACAGGGCTCGACAATCTGTGTAATCTACTCACCCGTGGCAAATAGATTACATCCCGGAAGAGCCGGGTTCGGGTGATCTGCACATGCGCAGAACGCCAAACAGCACAGCTGGCGAGTGGGGCTAATAATTAACATAGCCTGATTTGTCAGATATTCTCTGTCCCTACTATGTTTCCAGAGTTACCTCTCTTCAGATCTGTGTGGAGTCCTGGCCTCATTGAAGTTGAAAGGAGTTTTGTCATTGACTTCATTAGCACCAGGGTTTGAACATAGGTTCTTACATACTTTCAAAACCATTACAGTTATTCTAAGAATCTATCCTAGCTGTAATACCTGAGCTCTCCATAAATATTTTAATATAGTCAGCCCCTCAACACCCTTCTGAGATAGTGACGTGCTGGCTGCTGTGATCTCATAGGAATCATGATAGCACCTGAGGCTTTCTGCTATAGAACACCTTAGCCACCACTTCAATGCAAAGCAACTGGAGCTCTGCCTATGAGTCTAGCCCAGTATGGTGTATGAGTTTGTAATGTAACAAATACGAACTAGTGTTATAAAATCAAACTCTGTTTCCTTTTCAGAGGATCAAATTCCTCGTGGTTTTCCCACCATTGATATGGGCCCCCAGTTGAAGGTGGTTGAACGCACTCGCACAGCCACTATGTTATGTGCAGCCAGCGGCAATCCTGATCCTGAAATAACTTGGTTTAAAGACTTTTTACCCGTTGACACAAGCAACAACAACGGACGTATCAAACAATTACGATCAGGTAGGGTCTTGTTACTGTTTCCACTAACGCCCAGAGTTGTTCTCTCACACTCTTTTATTTTTAATTTATAGGTAAAATTTTCTCTTCCTCTTCTCTTCTCTGTGTTACTAAGTGTGTCGTCCATGTCTGTGATGTTGTCATAGCCTGTTCCAGAGTCCGTCTCTGTGTGTGTGTTTTGCAGCTTCTGTTCACTCCACATTGCTCACTGCTGTGACTGTATTTTTGATATTTTTTTCTTTACTGCTTTTCTGCAGTATTTGACGGATCCATTTTCTCCTCTTTCTTTCTTCTTTCTTTTTTTTTCCCACAAATTTATTTCAACATTGGACTTCATTCAGAACTTTCAAGGAGTACCAATGGTTATATTAATAAAAATCAAAACTTTCATATTTAGACACTAAAAATATTCAATAAAAGTGTGTTTTGTGCTGTCTTTTCAACATTTGAAGCCAACAAAGATTAGCCAGTTTGGACACATCTTTCCTCTCACTAATACATAAAACACAGTACTTTTTCCCCCATACGTAACCATACCTTAAAAATAGGGTGGGTGGATAAAAAAAGTCCTTGGGTAACCTATGAAAAAGAGCTTTTTGCTGGCTGAGCATTTTTCTAACACATTTAGCCACAGTAGTGTGCGCCCACGCTAAAGCTTTCTGATTCCTACATTGTCTGGATCTACAGAAGCCTGCTTTTGGTGTAGACTCCAGCTTTTGCTTCTCTCTCTTTGCCCGTTGCACTTCCCTAATAGTCCTTTCACCCCCCTCTTCACACCTTAGTTTATTATGTTGCTCTCTTTAGATTTAAAAACAAAAGAAAAAATACCTCTAAATTTATTAAGTTAAAAGCTTATCCCCAATAATTGAATGGGGAGATAATAAGCCTTTTGCCTTGGCAATTATAGTAATATTGGTGTAGAATCTAAGTTGTTTAATCACCTGTCTTCCCAGAATTATCAGCTTTTGACCTGTCCTGTGATGTTAAACCGTCTTGTTAACTGACTCTTTGCTTGTTGTCAGCAGAACTGTGTAAATTAACCTACTGTTAATGTAAATTAAGAATTAATTTTCACATGTGACATAGATTATTTAGTATATAAAGTTTTAACTGAAAACTTTGTGCCAAATTATAAGGAATATAATAATATTTTTATGCTGTCTTTCTTCTCTCCGTATTTAAATCTCCAGAATCTATTGGTAAGTGCTTAGTTCTGAAGCGCACTTCACCCCCACTAATTTCCATATTCAGAATATTATTATTATATTATTATGATTATTATTATTCTTAAAATGCATGGCATGCATTTTACTAACGGTCAGTGTAGTCACCAGATCTCCGTAGTGGCGCACACACACACCTCCACAGAAATGTTGTATCAATCATAGCTACACCTGTCTAGCAGAAACAGTACACAAGTATCACGTAGATAGAGTGCCGTGAATGCAGTAATCCAACCTAAACTACAGTGTTTGTTTCCAGATAGTCTTCAGTATATCTCCTCTCTATCTATATATATATATGGTGAATATATATATATATACACACACCCTTAAATAGAATAGCCAATATTTTCCTAAACTATGTATTAAATACATTATTGTAAAGTCTTTCTTTAAGGATGGGAGGCATATTCGATATATTTCTAACCCTATATAACCAAACACTTAAGAACTACTGAGATGCTTCTCTGAGAGTAGCAATGCTGCTTTTTGTGGCCTTTGCCCTTTGTGGTACAGTGCAACTTGCTTTTATAATCTAATAATACTATCTAATATATTCCTGTTTTAAAAGTATAGTATTTCAAGTTTTTAAGACCTTATTTAATTCTGTAAATCTAATTTGATTCTTCTTCCAAAGCCCTAGCCTCCTTCTTCTCGTACTAATGCTTCTTCTTTCTAATCTTATTTGCATTCATATTATCCACCCAGGTGGTACACCAATAAGAGGTAAGAGTGCTGAACTAACGTTCACAGAATGATCTTACTCATTCTTTCTGTCCTTTCATCCTTCTCATCTTTGTCCTGTTTAAAAAAACAACAACACAGAATTGTCCATCATCTTTATTTTTACCTTTTTTCTGTTTGGTTATGATCAGTGATTCTCATGTTGTGACCTTTATTTCCACTTCCCTTTTCCTTTCCCTTATTTAGTTTCTTCATTTTTGAAAAAGATAATTTAATTTGTGATATGCTTCAAAGAAAGCATATCCAGGTCTTTTGGCCATAGCCCAGTCACAGCTTACCATTTGTCCCTCTTTTTTTTTTTCCTTTTTTCTTCTTCGTTTTCTTTTTTCTTTTTTTTTTCTTTCTTTCTTTTTTTTTTCTTTTTTTTGTTCAACTTGAACAAAAAAAAAGATCATTTTTTTTCTTCCTTAGCTGTTCTTGTTCTGGACCAAAGCCAAGGTGGTCTGGAGAACAGTAGCAGACATGCAGAAGACAACATGGAATATCTTCTTTTTGTCTTTATCTTTCAAAAAAGGTTTTTGGTTTTTTGTTCTCTGATTCTTTTTTTTTCTTTTAACTTGATAAACTTGAAAATGGTTCTCCTCCCCTACAAAATTACAGCAATGCTTTTTTCCTTGATGGTTTTTTATGTTTTTGTGTTTTTCTTGGATTTATCCCATCTCTGGATTTTTGGATCTTCTGATCTGCAGGCTTTGGAAACGAAAGGTTAATGAGTCATTATTCTTGGTGGTGTATGGTATTGCTGGTTTTTGATACTTTGACAAAAATGTTCACTTCTTTTATAATTCTTGTTTTGTATTTTTCTTGGGTTTTGTGACACCACACTGCTAATCCCACTTGTGGATTTTGATGGGTGTCTTAGGGGGGGGCCCTCCCGAGGTCCTCAGCAGTGATTGGTTGGTTCTTCCTTGTTGGCCATGCTTTTAAACTTTTTTTTGTCTTCTAATTCAACTGCTCTTTGTTTTTCAGCAAACGTACTAAAGATTGTAAGTTGTGGCAAACCGTCTTTCTTTTCTTACCAATCTGCATGTCCTAAGGGAGTTTTATTTCTTTAAGAGAATATTTTGATAATTATGAATGACTAATGCAGTTTCTTATTTTTTAACACTTCAAGCAGCTTTTTTGTTCTTGCTGCATATTTTTGGCTTTCTTCAGCAGAAGACTTTCTTGAAACCAGTCTTGTCTTTTTTGAGAGTACCAAATTTTGCACTCCTTTTGTTACAAAAAATAAACAAACTCAAAAGATAGAACTACCCAACAACTTAATATATTTTATTTCATTTAAAAGCCATACTTCCTTGAAGCAGTCTCACCCATCTTCATTTTAATGGTCGAGGGGGAAAATAAGTATTGTTTAGAATGTGATTTTTTTTTTTTTGCCAAATGCAAATTGTTTCCTGTGCTAGCACTGATGATGTGAAAAAAATAATCTTTGTTTTTTTCATCGCATCATTTTCTGTCTGTGCACCTTAGCAAGAAAATGAACCGACGTTGAATGGACCTTCGCATACAGGGCTTTTCATATTGTAAAGCGGTGTATAATTATGGATCTAGAAAACTTCCTCTAACCGTCTCTTTGGCTATATATTTTATATTCATACAGGTGCCCTCCAAATCGAACTGAGCGAAGAGTCTGACCAAGGCAAATATGAGTGTGTTGCAACCAACAGTGCGGGTACACGCTATTCTGCCCCTGCCAATCTATATGTCAGAGGTAGGAATGACAAAACCCTGGCATCCGCTCTTCATGCAGGCTCGGGGGTGTTCACATGCTCTCAGGCCCTGGGCAATTAATATAGTAATAAACAAACTGCTCTGATACAAGTAACAGTAACAGCATATGTTTTAAAAATTTAGAGGACAGGGATTTTTTTTATATAGCATTCTTGAGTTCAATCTATCCTGTGACTTAAGGTCTGTAAGTATATTTACACTTTTACATCTTGACTTCTATTTTTCTGGCATTTATTTAGACCTGTGCGTTGCACTTTTTTATTATGTTGTTTATTTTTTTCTTTTGTGTTTTCCAACTCCTGAGGTAATTGCTTGCTGTGCTACTAATCAGTTCTGAGTGTAGCTACAAGGCAAAGAGGTGTGTGTCTACATAACCTCTTCTGCTGAGTGGCAAAGGAAAATCTTCAGACTTTAATAATATATGCAGAGCATAATTGTATATTCTTCCTTCTCTAGTTCTTTTTATATATATATATATATATATATACAAACACATATATATGTCTGTGTGAGCATATAGAAATGTGTATGGGGTGTACATATGCATATTTTTTTATTTAACCCTTATTGGAAAAGTGTAATCCCTGCCACTGCAGTAATTAAACTGGCTATATTTAAACAATTAATTGCTTGTCTATATGACAGGTATGAATTATGAGGATACATTTATATGTCCCTGTAAAGTAATAGAAATGATTAATTTTAAAATCTGTGAAAGTGTTCTTTTGATTTCAAACAGAAAGAAGTGGTTCCTCTTTGACAGTTTTTCCAACAGCTGGTTCATGCAGCTTTCTGTACAGCAGAAAGCCTATAATTCAATACCTATATACATATGTGTGTGTGTATGTGTATATATATATATATATACACCTGTTTGCAAACTAAGGGGAAGGGTGTGAAAAATATGTGTGAAAGATTAAACAGCTTTAAGCTTATTACTGTAGTGTGGGTGATCTTACCAGTAATATCTAGCTTGATCTTGAAATTTTGATAGAAGTAATGTTTCATTCAACCTTTCTTGTTTTGTTTTGGGTGGTTTTTTGGCCCAAGAAGACTGTTCATGGCATCCTTAGAAAGTTGTTTGATCCTTACCCCTCCCACCCAAAAAATACTGACTTTCCTGTATTGCATGAGGCATGTGTACTTTTTTATCCAGAGGAAAATTTCAAAATGATGCTAGCTATTGTTTCTAACACCGTAATAGCTGCGAGAAATTGCTAACTTTTCAAACTGACATAGGAAGATTTAATTAGAGCAAGTAAAGATGTTCAAGTAGCAGTTGAAAGCCTTGATATGGCCTTTTTACTCTCTCTGTGTTTCCCTTGTTTTTCTCCTTTCCTCATTTCATTGTGTTCTGCATCAAACCCCCTACATCCCTCAGAGCTGCGAGAAGGTTGGTGTGTTTTTTACTTTTTACCCACCTTACAAAACTATTAATTAAACCAATAACAAAGAATACAAATGAAATGAATGTAGCTGCATTGTGGCCTTTTTTAAGTTAATGTTACGTTTAAAGCAGAGAATGCTCTGGTCATGGCTTTTGATGTGTGCTGGTAACTGTTATGCATGATGAAAATGAACTTTGGTGCATGACAACCTGTAACTTTTAACACTAAGGTCTGGTAATCTTGGTCAGTGTTCCTGCTTTTTTACTTTTCCTTTAATTTCTTGTTATAGTGATGCCTGCTGTTCAAGGAATGATTTCCTGCAATTGCTTCTCTAAGCAGCCCAAGCATGAGAACTAAACTCTCTTCTGTTTAAAACAATTCTGTTTGATAGTATAAATTCCACATTGCCTGCTGCTTGCTTTGTGTGGCCTCTAAATTGGTTGCTGAAGGCATGTTATGCTCTTTGCTTGTTTCCCCATGCCTGTCATTCACTCATGAGGCCATCACAGTAAGCCCCTCTTGAGTCAATAGAAATTCACCAAAATTTAACTAAATCCAGCGGAAAGGTTTCAGACAAATACAATGTTTATTCTGTGACTCGTAATCTATTTTTTTGTTTGTTTGTTTTTTTGCTGAAATAAAAATAATGTCTTACTGATTAGCTTCTGGTTCATCAAACTCAAGTAAATACAGTGCAGAATACTTTGTCCAATTAAAGACCTAAATACAAACCTACCTCTCTGTCACTTCTCCTCTGCCTCTTCCCACACACACGTACGCACACACAGAGAATATCAGAAGCAGGAACACTGATTTATTGTTGCCTGGTAAAATTTTCTTGGTGTTGTGTTTGCTGAACTATTAACTGCTCTGTTGATGCAATGTCCTGCTATGTGTTTTCAATCAGCTGCCCCTCATTTTGAATATAGTAAATCTTTAATATGACTAATCCTACTAGCTCACCTTGCTTTCCTTACATGCAAACACAGTAGAACCATGAATGTTAAATGTTCTTCTCTTTCCCCAGTGGCCCTACCATATAGATGTTTCATAACAACCTGAGCTTAATCTAGTATCTCCCTCCCTCCAGCCCTATTCTCCTTTAAATTCCTGTTTCTGTCAACCCATCCAACCCCCCAGGTTTTACTTTTATTCTTTCTCCCAATATGTTTTCCTTTTGGGTTTTAGCAGTTTTCTTTCTTTCTGTAATTTTGACTCTCCAACATTTTCCTGAGCATGATTCTCTACAGATTCTGTTGTTTGCTTGCCTGCATGACCAAATCCAGTACTCATATTAGCTTTGCCTTGTTTCTTCTCCTGTGACTATATATATTTTTCTATGTTTGTTTCAGTGTTAGTGTGAGGTCTTGAGGCTGCATCCACTTTGAGTCTGAAAGCAAATCAAATTGCACTTTCAGTGTACTGTAGGTGATGCGTTCCAGGGCTGTGATGTGACAATGTGGTCCAGCACATTTATTCACATCAACTGGAAGTACGCAGCATTGAAGTTGGTTTTGGTACTCAACTCAAGCATGCTGTTAACCCTCCAGTTTTCTTCTGTGCATATTATATATGTGTGTATATGCATTCTAACTACATGCATATATATAGATATATATGTGTGTGTGTGTGTGTGTATCTTTTGCATGGTGTTTGTGTATTGTTAGTATACAGTTAGTCAATTGTGGGCCCCAGTAGGTCTGAATCAACTTTGTATGAATGTGTCTAATGATATCAACAAGTAAATACAGAATACATTTACTTTGTGTGCAGACAATATACTTGTATAGTCTGTATATTTTATTTTTTTAGCAAATTACAATAACATGTTTAAACTGTTAAATTGTGTCTGTACTGTGCATGTCGTCTATATGAAAGTCTCATTTTCCCTTTTTGTATATGTTATTACTATTTTGTGTTTTGTTCCAGTTCGCCGGGTCCCACCAAGGTTCTCTATCCCACCGACTAATCACGAGATCATGCCAGGAGGGAGTGTTAACATCACTTGTGTTGCCGTGGGGTCACCAATGCCCTATGTGAAATGGATGCTAGGGGCTGAAGATCTGACGCCCGAAGATGATATGCCAATAGGCAGGAATGTCCTTGAGCTTAATGATGTCAGGCAGTCTGCAAATTACACTTGTGTTGCTATGTCCACCCTGGGTGTTATAGAAGCAATAGCACAGATAACTGTCAAAGGTACTTTAAAATATATAATCTGTATATATGTAGGCATGACTTATTCTTTGTTTTTCTGATCCAGTTATTAAATATTGATCACTTCCTTAAAAAGATGCTTTGTATTAGCTTTAGGCCAAATTCTGGCCTCTAGTGCACAAGTGTTTTAAGTAGGGTGTGGCTGTACTTGGCTCCCTAGACTGGAATCACCTTGCTACCCACTGCATCCAGTGAAAGGAAATCTTATTTGTGGTGACTAGGTGCCGGCTCCTTGATGCTATCAGTCTTTCAACTACTCAGTCTCCTCTAGGCAAGTTAACAGTAGAGCAGGCTGTGCAGGTGGCGGAGTGGCACTGTATGTGAAAGGTAATGTGGAATCAAATGAAATAAAAATATTAAATGAATCAACATGTTCAATATAATTGCTATGGATAGTAATTCCATGCTCCAATAATAAGAATTTAGCAGTAGGGATATATTATCGACCATCTGACCAGGACAGTGATACTGACATTGAAATACTGAGGGAGATTAGAGAGGCTACCAAAATAAAGAACTCTATAATCATAGAATCATAGAACTGGAAGAGACCTCAGAAGGTCATCAAGTCCAGCCCCCTGCTCTAGGCAGGACCAATTCCAACTAAATCAACCCGGCCAGGGCTTTGTCAAGCTGAGACTTAAACACCTCTAGGGATGGAGACTCCACTACTTCCCTAGGTAACCCATTCCAGTGCTTCACCACCCTCCTAGTGAAATAGTTTTTTCTAATATCCAACCTGGACCTCTCCCACCACAGCTTGAGACCATTGCTCCTTGTTCTGCCATCTGTCACT